GGAGAAAGAGAGGAAGACCCCCAACAAGATGGATCAGCCAGGTGGCATCATTGATGGACTCAAGTGTGGCAGCGGTAGTGAGGTTGGCCCAGGATCGGGCATTGTTTCGTTCTTCTGTGCATGGGGTCGCTATGAGTCGGTTTCGACTCGATGGCACCTGACAACAAAAACAACAGAAAAGGTATTTTCAGTTGTTCTTGCAAAATTCTATCATGTGATTTCCAGCATCTTTTCTGTCACCAGGGCCATGTCTTCCAACGCCTTTTCCTATATCTTCAGATCTTTGCGTTCTAATCCGACCAGTAATTATCAATACATCTTGAATGCGTGTTTAATCAATTTCAGACTGAAGAAGTTGGTAGAATTCTTCAATTTCATCATCATTAGCTTTAGTATTTGGTGCGTAAATTTGAATTATAATTGTATTAACTCATCTGCCTGCCTCGTAAGTGTATGGGTATTATCCTGTTAGAGACAGCATTATATTTCAAGATAGTCTGGAAATGTTCTTTTTATGATGAATGTGAAACCATTCCTCTTCATTTATCATTTGCCAGCATAGTAAACCATGTCATTGTCAGAATCAAAATGGCCAATACCAGTCCATTTCAGCTCACCAGTGCCTAGCATAGTGATCTTTATAGGTTCCATTTAATTTTTAAATTTTCCTAGATTCATACTTCGTACATTCCATGTTCTGATTATTAATGGATGTTTGCAGCTGTAGCTCCTTGTCTTTTTACTCTTTCCATTGTTTTCTTCCTTCCTGATGGTGATTTATTCCCTTTTTTAAGTATGATTTTCTTTTGGTTCAGAGAACTTCTTGCACGCATTCTGTAGCATTCTTTCAATAGAGAATGTCTTGATGTCTTCTTAACTCCTGATGGGTTTTGCAGGAACATTTTTCTTATATAAGAATTATTTTCTTTCAGCGTCTAAATAATAATGTGCATCTCCTTCTGGTCTCAGTAATTTCTGGTGAGAATTGTTTTCCCTTTATAGGAAAGGTTTAGTGTTTCTCTGTTTTCTAGAGTTTTTCTTTATATTTTTAGTATCAGAAATTTGAATATGGTGTGCCTTCTTATAGATTTTTCATCTTTGGGGTTTGTTCAGAGTTTTGTACCTGTTGATTTATGTTTCTTATATTTTCAAAGTTTTCTTCAGAAAAACTTTCAGTTGTTTCTTCAGAACTTTTTCAGCATTGCCCTTTTTCTTTTCTTCTGAAGTTCTGATGGCATGAATATAAAATATTTTATTATATTTTATATATTTCCACAGGTCCCTGGAAAGGACTCAGTTCACTTTTCAGCCTGTTTTCTCTGTTATTTTATATATGAAAAGGATAGAACAGTAATTTTTATTTCTGTCTTCCTGTCCACCCATTCTTTCCTCTGACCCTTCCATTCTGTTGTTGTCCGTCCACTGAGTTTTTAATATCAGTTATTGTGTTTTTCAATTAAAATTTCCATTTGGTTCTTTTAAGAAAGTTTTTATTATAGTAAAATATTCCACTTGGCTCTTTTCATATCTTGTATTTATTGTTTGAGATTTTCTGTTTAATTTCTTCTTTCTTGTCTGAGGTATGTTCATGATGGCTCTTTGAAACATTTTCAAGATGGCTGCTTTAAATTCCTTCCCTGATAATTTTAACATCTTTGTCATGTCAACATTGACACTTAGTGATTGTCTTTTTGTTAATTCAGTTTGATATCTTCCTGTTCTTACTGAAATCTAAAGATTTTTGGTGTTTTGTCATGAGACTTGAATCTATTTAAGTCTCTTGCTTCAGCTGCAGTTAGCGGACAGTGCTCTGGCAGGTCCCTGTCAGGTGGAGTTGCAAGTCTAGGTTCCCTATTGGGCTCCTGGGACACGTGGTGGAAGGTTCCTTACCAGGGGTGTGGTGTGGTAGTGCCTGCCAGCTCTATTGGCACACCCCTGGCTGAGATGGTTCAGAGAGCCTTGTTGTCTCCTCACGTAGCCTCTACACACTTTGGGGGGTGGGGAGGTGGTGTTGGTGTGTATGTTGTTTCCTCACATGACCTTTACAAACTGTGGAATGTGTGTGTGTTGGCTCCTCACATGTTCTCTACACACTGTGGAGTGTGTGTGTGTATGCTGTCTCCTCACACTTTCTCTACTCACTGTGGAGTGTGTATGCTGTCTCCTCACATGTGGAGTGTGTGTGTGTGTGTAGGCTTCGTTAGCACTGGGAAGTGGATGTAATCCTGAGCTCCCCTAGGCCTCCTCTGCTTACTACTCCCGTGGTGAGGAGTGCTTGGGACACCTTAGTACTTCCATGTGGAAGTGGAAATCTAACCCCCCCACTGGATCTGTCCTGGCAAGGGTGGAGATGGGCCACAGTTTATTGTTTTTTATATGTTTGGTTGGAGCTAGGCATTATTGTCTCACAATTTTCTGTCTTTCCTGGTTGTTTGGTTAGAGAGCAGGCTCTTGTTGGTACATTTTCCTCTGTACCTGCTGGTGTTTTGGGCTTGTTCACTCCTTCAGCTATGATTCCGGGATGGATGAGATAAAAAGAATACCCAGGGAACTGACCCCTGTCCTGGCCTTGAATCCCAGGTCCCCTGTCCCAGTCATTCTGTGCTCTTTGCCTCATTTTATAGTCTTCTTATGTCTTCTTGATTCATGATGTATTGAGTGGGTGGAACAGGGAAGAACACATCTACTCCATTTTTCTGGAAACACAAGTGGTTTCTTGTTGCTTCTATTCTTTTTAGAGGAGAGCAATTCCAGTAGCCTGGTTCCTGTGGCAATGATCTCTTAGGGAAATTGCAGGTGCCCAGTCTCTGGGGAGGGGATCTCTTGTCGTGAGTTCCTGCAGAGTTGGTTCAGACTCATGGCAACCCCATGTCTGCACCCTAGTCCTGCTTTGATCTTTTGGGAGAAGATTGCCAGGTCTGTCTTCCAGGGGACCTCCGGGTGGGTTTGAATTGCCAACCTTTCCGTTAGTAGTCAAGTGCTTGTTTGTGCCAGCAGGGACTCTGGCAGGTGAGAGGACTGAGGTTGCGGTGGCAAAATATCTCTGTGTCCTAAGAAGGGAGGCAGATTCTGAGGCACAATTGCAGGGAGGTTGATAGGTTTGGTTGTGACCCTTGTTGATGGCCACAGTTGGGTATGGGATGTGGGCAGGAATTAAGGACTGTGGGTAGAATTGGGCATCTGAATGTCTTTCTGAGGTCCAGGGGTCAGAACCCATGTGCTGTATCAGTCCGGTGGCCCAATGTTTACCAGGGGCAGAGTCTGAAAGTCCTGCTGAGATGCAAGCATCTTGGTGCCACAGCCTCCCCTGCCCCTGGTGCCCTCAACCTGGGCATGGCCTCCAAGAGAAGAGAAGATGTCAGGTGGTCACTCACCCACAGCACCTGCTGCCCCTGCTCTGGAAGCAGAGCTTCTCTGCCCCCCATCTACCATTCCCCAGAGGATCCAACAGAAACAGAACAACTGTAGGATGGAGTTGCATTTGGTGGGGCTCTCCCATGGCAGGCTCATCTCAGCCCAAGCGCTGGCTTGGTTCAGGAACAGGTGAGAAATGGACGGTGGGAGCTGGTGGGAGACTCAGTCCACCGTGGTGAAAGGGTGACCGCAGAAGCTGCAGTGTCGGAGTTTAGACTTGACCACTGGGACCCGAGGAGCTCTGTTCCAAAGGACAGGACTTTGGAGCTCCTGGGGGGTCAGGCCATCTGGAAAGCCCTAAGTGTCTGGCAGGAGAGGCATTTAAGCAGAGGCCGGGCACATGGCCCCAGGGTACCCCAGATGTCCTTGTCTCCTCCACAGGGCTTCTATTGGACTTCACAGCAGGGGGAGGGGCTGTCCTATGAAAGTCGGAAAAACGCTCAGCTAGTGTTTGCTCCTGAGAAGCAGACCTAATTTGGGGTCCTGAAAGTGGTGCCTGAATGCAGCCCCAGAGCCTGGCTGGGTCCGGTTGCCCGCCAGGGGTGTCTTCTGTGGCCAGGGCTGTGGGTCTTGTCCAGCGGATCCCTCTCACCTTCTTCTGGTTGCTTGCAGACCAATGACGCAGCTGGAAACACCTGGAACTGGCTGTACTTCATCCCTCTCATCATCATCGGGTCCTTCTTCATGCTCAACCTGGTGCTGGGAGTGCTGTCAGGGTAAGAGGCGGGGCCTTCTGTGTGGTCAGGGCCAGGCGGCCAGGGAAGACACAGTGTGAGCAACGTGGGGAAGAGCTCAGCTGTGGGCAGCCTTTCCGTGGGCCTCCATCTGGACCTCACCCTGAAGCCTCAACCTCTCCCTAACCCTAAGCTCACCCAGGCGCTCTCTGCAGAGTCTCAGGATCTGTTGCTTCATGGGGAGGGGCCACCACATCTTACTTGGGCGTGGTCATGGTGGGCTTCCTGGGGAGGGGGCAGTCCTCCAAGTAGCCACTGCATTGTCCCCTGGAGCCTCCACTCCATCCTAGTCCCAGGCGAGTCCCCTCTCCTCTGTTGTCCCTAGCAGAGGGCAAAGGGGCACAGGGCTGGCAATTCCTCCTGGAGAGGTTTCCTGACTCAGCCCTGGGCACACATCCCAGACAGGGGCTGAGGAAGCAGGGAAGGAGGTAGGTATGGGGCCCGACCCACCTCTGAGCCCCAGCCTGGCTTCAGACCCCTGCACTGTGGGCTGGAGGACATGTCTTCCTTCCTCTGTACGTCTGGTGGATCGGAGCATGTTGTGGGGGAGGCAGATGGGACCAAGTATGACCTGCCCTAGCCTTGCCTCTCTCCTGGAAGCACGTCAGCACAGAGGATGTGCAGAGCTTCTGGCCTGCTGAGGTCTTGGGGTCCCATAATGATGGAAGCTGAGGGGTATCCTGGGACTCACAGGAGGCACTTAGGTGAGGGGCATCTCAGCTGAGACCCAAAGTGACAAAGACATGAGGAGGGGCAGGAAGACGAAAGGCAGGCTGGAGGGTGCTCACGGGGAGACTGGCGGGATGGCAGGCCAGGGAGCCTTTTGTGTGGTACATGCCAGAGAGCTGGTAGCAGGGACTGAGCTGGGAGTGGGGTGGGGGCTCGAGGCCGCACTGGAGCTCTTCAGCTCCTAGCTACACAGAGCATGACCCTTGGATCTCTCCAGCTTTCTCCTTCCTGGGTGTATCCTGCTAACGGGGGAAATTCACGGTGGCTTTCTTTATCAGCCCCACGGAGCCCTTCTTCAGGTGCCCAGATTCCCCAGAGGGACTCTAACCCAGGGAGGCTGAGGGTGAGCAACCCTCTAAACCAGCAGTCAGTGGTCACTGGGTACCCGTGGATCCCACGCTGAGTACGTTCAGAGGCAACCCTGCCCTGACCTTGAGCACTGGTCAGATGCTGCTTGAGCCCACACTGCAGGTTGCTGGCCAGCCCTTTGTCCTCCATTCCCTGGGCCCTCACCTCAGTGAGTGTCCAGAGGAGTTGAGGCAGGATTGGGCTGGGTTGGGTCACCGGAGCCCTGCTGAAGGCTCAGACAGGCTTTCTACCCTGGTACAGATGGACAGAATAGACAGATGGATGGAATAGACAATGGCAGTGAATGTTCCCCTGACTGGCTCTCCTGTCCCGCGGGTGGGTGGGGAGGTGCCTTGGTCCTCTCATGCTGCAGGGATACAAATGCCACAGTGGGTGACTTTCTCTCAGTTTAGGAGGCTAGAACTCTGAATTCAGGGCTCCGGTCCTAGGGCAAGGTTTTCTCTATCTGTGAAGGTTCCTGTCACCTTTGTTAAAAAAGCTTTTATTGTGAATTGAGTGATAGTTTACATGTGAGAACATCGGGTTTGCACTCAGTCCATCAGTTTGTTTCACTTTAATGGTTACAATTTCCTCCATGCATCATCGTTCTACAGTATTTGCTTCTATTCCCACTTTTTAAAAAGGACAGGAGTCTTTGGAACGTGGTCGAACTCAGCCCATGCTTCATTACTGCCTTTCCCCCACTTGTACTCACATGTAGACCAGCGCCGTCACCAGCAAGCTTACACGCCTGCTCGTGTGTTCCTTGGAGTTTCTGGCCTGTCTCCTTTCAACGTCTGCTCATGTGACCTGGCTCCTCCTTCCCATCTCTGCTTCTCCCATTTCCTTGTTTGAACTCTTAGATCTTACAAGAGGTCAATTCAAGATGTAATGAAGACGCCCCATCCCACAGGCATAGAGGCTAAGATTTACATCACATATTTTTGCGGAGACACAATTCAGTCCATTACAGGAGTCAGAAGGGAGGGCAGGAAGTCTGGGTGGGAAGGCTGACACAGGTCCTTTACCACCTGAGACCACAGGCTTGAGGTCAGGGATGCCTGGGAGGTGGGCTCCAGGCTGCTCCTCCGGGAGTTGGGACGGGGGCAACCCACTGGCTGAGAGCTGGCCTTGCTCTTGTTTGCTACGAGGGTGTAAGCAGCACTTTCTAGAACTTTGGGGACCTGGACCTGAACTGCAAAGGCCGGATGCCATGTGCATGCGTGTGTGTGTATTTCCATGGGAGAATGAGTATGCTGTGCATCTCTGTGCACGTGTGTGAGGGTGAGCGTGTCAGTGTCGGTGAGAATGGTCTCACTGACTGGTGGCTGTGTCGGGTGGGGTTGCTGGGCTTGGGGAGCGGCTGTGAAGAGTCAGGAGGGGTGCGGGGTGCTGGGTTCAGGGGGACAGGTCTCTATATGAGCCTCATAGGGGGCGATGTGGACTCTAGAATCCACTTTCCTCCCCTCTGACCTGCCCTGAGCTCCCTCTTCTGCTCCTCTGGTTCCCATCTCCCAGAAGAGACTCTTGGTCTGAACCACAGGGGAAACCAAGTACAAGCTTTTCTCTTGTCTGAAAGCTCTCTGAGCGGCACATGGGCTGTGTGGGTGTGGGTGTCTAGGGAACGTTGGGCTTGGGGCCTGAAACACCGTCTCTGGGGACCAAGGTGTTATCCCGGAGTAATGTGGGTCTGGGGAGGGCGGGTCTTCCTGGGCCATGTAGGCAGGTGTCTGGGGAAGCAAGAAGACAGCCTGGGAGGTACCGATAGACAGGGGGTCCACCCTTGGGTGTGTGTGTTCTGTGCCTGTCTGCCCAGCCCCTCTGCCTGCCTGCAGGCTACGACTCCTCAGCCTTCTTCCCCTGACTTGTTGGCCCCCACACTCTACAGGGAGTTTGCCAAGGAACGTGAGAGGGTGGAGAACCGCCGCGCCTTCTTAAAGCTCCGCCGGCAGCAGCAGATCGAGCGGGAACTCAATGGGTACCTAGAGTGGATTTTCAAGGCCGGTGAGAGCCAGCGGGGGTGACCTGCCTCTGCCTTGTCCCCAAGCCCATGGGCTGCAGGGAGCACCGCTGCCCCCCAAACTATCAGAGGCCAGTGGAGGGTATTTTGGGGATTTGCAGTGACAGGGTGTCCCTCTAGCCCGCTGGGGTCCTGGAACCAGGGCAACTATGGCCTCAAGCAAACTGACCTTTCTAATGGAGGGTTCCATCTCTGTCCAGTGATCTGGGCTTGACCTGGGGCCAGGTAAACACTGACCTGAGTGGACAGTTTCACATGCCTACATGGTTCAGTCAGTAAGGAAGCATATGTAAGTCTGTGCTTACTTTGCTTATTGGGCAATCCATTACTGCCTTGGCCTGCACTGATGGTGCCCAGGCCAGACTCTCCCAGGAGCTGCCCCCTCACATGCCAAGTGAGACTCTGGTCCTCTCCAGTGAACAGGGTGAGACCCTGCCAGCCAGCTGCCTCTCCGGCTTGTCTGTAGGCTGTTTCAGGGCGGCCTTTCTGGATAGAGAAAGCTTGGCCTTGGGCCCTGAAGCTTCTGGAAGCTTAGGAGCTGGGTGGGTAGGCCCTTCCGGCAGAAGCCTCTACCAGGGTATTGACCGGTCCCTTCCCACCCCACTGAGGCAGGCTCTCTCCCACAGAGGAGGTCATGCTGGCTGAGGAGGACAAGAATGCCGAGGAAAAGTCGCCCTTGGATGGTAGGTGGTTCTCCTGCCCGCGTTCCGTGTACCTCGGGTGTGGGGATCGAGGGGCTGGGTGGGGGCAGCTGGTGCTGTGGTCAGTATGCTGTTGGCCTGATGCAGGGACGCATGGGCATGTACAGTGTGCGGTTTGAGTTTCTGGGAATAAGTGTGTCACCTCAGGGTTGGGAAGAGGAGCAGGACGGTCCTTGGTGCTCTGTCTGTCTGAGCCACAGGGCTCCTCTGTCTGCCCGGCTCCTCTGTCTGCCCAGGTCATTTCTGTCTTCTTCTTTGTCGCTGATCTCGATGGTGGTGGGTGTGTATGTGGGGGTGGGGGGGTGGGGAGCAGCAGTGGCTTCTCCGCCTCCTTCCGGGGACCCTTGTGGTGACCTCCTCCATGGGCCTTCTCCATGACCTTCTCCAGTTCTCGGGGGCCTCACTGGTCAGTGTAGAGAACATTCCAGCATTATAGCAAGTTCGTTGGACGGCGCTGCTTCTAAAAGCTTTAAAGCTGCGGTTGAACGTGTGCTCTATCTGTGACACGTGCACCCCAAGGCTGCGGAAGGGGCTCTGCAGGACCCGTGCACGGGGAGGAGGAGGAGGAGGGCCCTGGGTCAGGCCGGGGAGCACACTTGCTGCTTCTGCATGGTCTCGGTCTTCCACTGACCGCATTTTGGAGACAAATTCTCTGCCCCTTCTGCTGTGGAGTCACCGTCACCTCCGAAGTTCCCCGAGGGCTCTGGCTCACGGGGTCTCTGCCCTTGTTTAAAGCAGTGCTGAAGCGAGCAGCCAACAAGAAGAGCAGAAACGACCTGATCCATGCAGAGGAGGGTGAGGACCGCTTCGCTGACCTGGGTGCCGTTGGTGAGTCCCAAGGCCTCCTGGCCCCGCTCCCCAACTGCCCACCCTTCTGTGAATGCATGGTGTCTGTCCAAGCAGCCATAGGACCACCTTGTGTCTGCCTGGCTCGGGAGGTGAGCGGGGAAGCAGCCCTCCTGGAGGCTCCCACAAAGTCTCGCATCTTCAATTCCAGCAGCTGCGGGAGTGGAGGGTGTGTTCTGCCCACCGACAGAACTGGTCGTGCATGGCCAGGGGTCCCACCTTCAGTGGTGTGAGGGGCGACAAGTCAGATCCAACCCCATAAAGACAGAGTCTCATTTTCTTATTGCATTAGATGAAACTACTCTGCGAACCTTAAGGTCAGCGGTTCGAAACTATCAGCCGCTCCGCGGGAGAAAGATGAGGCTTTCTACTCCCGTAAAGATTTACACCCTCGGAAACCCTGTACAGGGTCGCTATGGGTCGGAACCAACTCGACGGCACTTAACAACAACAACAACAACAACAACTCTAGAATGTAGCAGTAGACAGGGATTTGTGTGCAGTTCTTGATTGCTTTTGGGGGGCTTCCTGTCCTCACTCAGGTAACCGTGTGAACAGCCTAGGTTGTACACTTCCATATTTCTCCATGTTGGCCCAGGATCGGGCAGTGTTTCATTCTGCTATGCATAGGGTCGCTATGAGTCAGTACCGATGCGATAGCGCCTAACAACAACAATAATCTCTGACTATACACACAAGCATGGTGTATATTCCTTCTTTCGTTCTTTCTCGAGTTTACACAACACCTTCTGAGCCCTCCCTCCTGGCCATCCGGGTTCCTCTCTCCCTCCCTCTTGTGCCCATCAGCTGGGACACCCTAATTTGACATTTGTTCCCTGCTGATGCTTCTGAATGTCCTGAAAACTGCTACCTCCAAGTCCTGCAGACATCTGTTGTGAAGTGAGCTTTATCAAGGTGCAGCAGCTTCACAGAGAGGGCTGCCAGGAAGGGCTGTGGTTCCTCAAGGTGCCACTAGCAACGCTGAAGGTGCCCACCCACCCCCACCCCCGTCACATGTCCTTCTTTGGCCAGATTGATGCCAATTTGTTGCGCACAGAGCAATGTGTGGTTGGGGATTCTAACTTCTGTTTTTGATACTTTCTCTCTTTTATTAAAGCAGAAAGTCTTAAGTTTTTATTAATTAACAAAGAGGTTATTAATAACGGTAGAAAAAGGTAAAGAATAAAATGGAGAAACCAGTTTTATAAGGAGATGCCCATGAGAAAGAAAAGAAGAAAACTCTGGAAATTGCCACAGCAAATCTAACGCTGAGAGAAGGTAGCAAAGAAAACAGTCTTGTTTTCCATCAGCTTCTTCATTGCCTTTGATGCCTTGATGGCCAGGAACGTCCTTCCACGGAATATCCATGCCTTGGGAGGCTCGATCAATCTTCTCAAATAGTTTCTGTTGACAACATCTCATCCAGAGGCTGTTTTCCATCCATCGTGTTTCCAGTTACTAACCCATTCTGTCATGCCTTTAATGACAAACTTGCTATCAGTTTCAATGGTGAGCTGATCTATATTTTGGCTCTTTGCTTGTTCATTTGCTTTGTGGGCTGCCCTCAGTTCTGCTGTTTGGTTTGTCTGTCTTCCAGAAACTCTGTCACTTACATTTAGTGGTTGCTTAGGTCCTCAGTAAACTCCATACCATCAACATAAACAGTTGGGATGTATTCTACTCCAGCACCAAAGTTCTGTCCTCTTTGTCCCCTGGAGTTCATGTCAGACTTTTGTACCAAGATCAACCAGCCAACATCCTAGGTCCGTGCAATCTACACTTGTGACCCCTGCACTTGTGTGCTCAGTTTGAGGGCGTGGTAGCCAGGTGGGCGGCGCTGTCTGAGAGCCGTCTCCTTCTCTTTGCGCTTTAGGACATCCAGGGCGCACAGATCCCGGACTTTTCCAGTTCAGTTCTCTGCCCTCGCTTCCACCTTGGCCTCCAGCTCCGTCTCCTCTCCTCCCTTTCCTGAGCACAGATCTTTTAATGTTTGTTTCCCACTGGGATTTGTGGTTTGGTGACTCTTCGTATCGCCTAGTTTTCTAATGGGTTGTTGGGTTTCTCTCGTCACTTAGTGGAAACCCCTAAGACCCTCCGTACTGTGGGTCGGAACCCTTCGTCATCTCATTTTGGGTTTTCTCCAGATTGGCCATTTATGTTATTTCCTTCTATTCTTACCTTACCTAAGGTTTTATTCTGATTTTAGAAAATGAATTAGAGAGTTGCTGTTTTTTTAAAAATCTTTTTTCTAAGAAGAACATGGGCCAGTTTTGGAATTTACACGTTGTTAAGAAATTATGCCCGTTTTGTGAGTTTTAAAACTTATTTCCAGAAATGCAGATAGCTTTTCTCGCCATCCTTTTAGCCCCTCCTGTGCTCAGTCATTCATCTGCTCATTCCTTCACTCTGCAGGTGTGGAATGTACGAAGTGTAAATCTAGGAAAATTGGAAATTGTCAAAAATGAAATGGAACTCATAAACATCCATATCGTAGGCATTAGTGAGCTGAAGTGGACTGGTATTGGCCATTTTGAATCTGACAATCGCATGATTTACTATGCCAGGAATGACAAATTGAAGAGGAAGGATGTCACATTCATCACCAAAAACAGCACATCAAGATCAGTCTTGAAGTACAATGCTGTCTGCGATAGGGTGATAGCCATATGCCAAAGAAGACCAGTTAATACAAATATTATTCAAATGCATGCACTAACCACTAAAGCCAGTGAGAATGAAGTTGAAGAATTCTACTAACGTCTTTAGTTTGAAATTGATCAAACATGCAATAAGATATATTAATAATTATTGGTGATTGTAATGCAGAAGTTGGAAACAAAGGAAGGATCGGTCGTTGGGAAATTTGGCCTTGGTGATAGAAATGATGCTGAAGATGATGGCATGATAGAATTTTGCAAGACCAATGATTTCTTCATTGCAAATAGATTTTTAAAACAACATAAAGGATGATTATACACCTGGACCCCTCACTAGATGGAATGCACAGAAATCAAATTGACTACATCTGTGGAAAGAGATGGTGGAAAAGCTCCATATCATCAGCCAAAACAAGGCCAGGGGCAGACTGTGGAACAGGTCATCAATTGCTCATATGTAAGTTCAGATTGAAGCTGAAGAAAAATTTAAAAGTCCACGAGAGCCAAATATGACCTTGAACATATCCCACCTGAAATTAGAGATCATCTGAAGAGCAGTTTTCATGCATTAGACACTAAACACCGAAGACCGGAAGAGTTGAAGGATGACATCAGGGACATCAAACCGGAAGAAAGCAAAAGGTTATTAAGAAAATAAGAAAGAAGGAAAAGACCAAATGGAAGAAATGAGGAGGTAAAAGAGCTGAACAGAAAGTTTCAAAGAGCAGTTTGAGAAGACAAGATCAAATATTGTAATGCAATGTGCAAACACCTGGAGTTAGAAAACCAAAATGCTCAGCATTTCTCAAGCTGAGAGAACTAAGAAAAAATTCAAGGCTTGACATGTAATAGTGAAGGATTCCATGGGCAAAATATTGAATGATGCAGAAAGCATCAAAAGAAGATGGAAAGGGAGGAGGGGGTGGAAGAACAAGGTAGGTAGGGGAACACTGAGACAGGTTTGCATGGGATAAATGGGACAGAGGTAAATAGTGATGCATGCTCAACCTTGGAACAACAGAGTTCTGTGATACAGG